TAATGACTTGAACACAGTTGTCATTATCCCCTGAAGTGACAGATCGAGTTCATTCAGCAGGTTGAATATATCGCACAAGTAAGCAAGTTTTGTGTCACTGAAATGTGCTGCCAGTGGTGACTGTTTTTCTAAAAGAAATCTCTGAAGCAGCTTTTATAGCTCAAAAACTCTAGCCATCTCACTTCTGTATTTAAGAGATGTGTGTGCTCTGCATCTGTCTCCTCACATAGCTGCATGAACAGACGTTGAGTTAAGGGCATATACTTTAATGTGGTTGATAATTTTAATCACATCCTGCAAAATGTTGTTAAGTTTAGGTGACATTTTTCAGCTAGCCAGCATTTCTCTGTAAATGACACAGTGCATAGTCTCACATTCAGAAGTGACCCCTTTGACCCAAATAGTGAAACCAGAAAGCCGCCCAGTCATGGCAGCCATTCCATACATGCATATACCGACACAAAATGACCAGTTTTCCTGATATGTGATCAAAGACTTGAATACTTCTGCAGCTGCCGTGTTGGTTGGCAACAAAAGTGCATATAACAAATCCTTATGCACACCCTCCTGAAAAATATGTCACACAAAAATAAGCATTGTTGCCTTGTCAACATCGGTAGACTCATCAACCTGGATTGTGTACCACAGTGACTCATAAATTCTCTCTAACAGTTATGCTTCAATATCCTCTACTATTTCTTCAATTTGTCTAGTTATGGTGCTCGCTTAAAGAGGAACGCAAGCCTCTCCTGAAAGTTCACAACAAATGTCCTTAGTAGCAGGCAGGATCAACTCTTCAATAGTAAAGGACTTCTTAGCTTTAGCAATGCCATTAGCCACTAAGAGTGATGTTGTCAGTGCAGACACATTTGATGAAGTGATGGCCTTCAATAATTGCTTCCATTCTTCGTGTTCACATTTTTTTCCTTTGAAAAACTCCAAAGGCTTATTATAATGCAGAGTGCTTGGTCTCCATGTAGCAAAGCAATTTTGAAGTTTTCATGGCTTCATTGGATAGCCAGTCACCACATGTCATGCAACACAGGCTTAGAGAATGTGAATCACCTGTTGTAATGAACCCATAATTTAAATAGAACTTCTGGTATTTTCTTTTTCTTTTCTTTTTTTAGAAAGCAGGATTTATTGAGAGGACAGAAAAGCCCCCCCAGTAGAAGGGAATCCGAAGGGGTTGCCTGGTATTTTCTTTTAAATGCAGTTTTTTTTGTTGTTGTTGGCAGTCTTAAAGTCTTTTGCCATCTCATTATTGGATCTTCCCCCTTTTCAGAGAAGCTCTCCAGTGATAATTGTTTCTACTCATTTTGGCTAGAGTTAGTTTGTGGGCTTACCAAAACTGTGACTGAGACAAGTGTGCAGTGTAGGAAAGAGGCATGAATGGAAGTGGTCAAATAATGGGCAGAATAAATGCATGGAATAAAAGTGATGTCGGATTCTGACTTAAAACCCATCACCAGCTGCAGTTATAGTTGAAGTACATTAACTCACTTGCCACTCACTGATAGGGTTTTGATATGAGTCTGCAAGCAATTGATTTATTATGGACTTTGTGCAGTCAAACCTCACTGCTAATGTTAATCTGTATTTACAGCTGTTCCTCAGCACTAGCATCACTGCCTCGGCTCCACTTCAGATCATTAGGCATTAGATTCTCATAAGGAGCATGCAAGTTAGATCCCTCACATGCATTTCACAATAGGGTTCAGGCTCCTATGAGAATCTAATGCCGCCACTGATATGGTAGAAGATGGAGCTCAGGTGGTAATGCAAGTGATGGGGAGTGTCTATAAATACAGATGAAGCTTTGTTCACTCACCCACTGCTCACCTCATGCTGTGTGGCCTGGTTCCTAACAGGCCATGAACTGGTACTAGTCCATGACCCAGGGCTTGGGGACTCCTGGTATACAGCAACAGCAAAGGAATGATTTGGTTATGAGAGCATCTGCCCTCTGTGATAGGTACTCTATGTAAAACGCAGGCATAGTGGTCAAATATGGTGACTAGAGACTGCTTGTCAGTCAAAATTTGGAACTTAAATATGGAAAACATACCTATAGAAACATACTTCAGAAGTAAACTCTGCATACTGCATGAAATGATGGCATGTATGACAAATCTGAATATTATTGAAATGAATCTGGCAGTGTTGTTGTGACTGCATCTTACAATAATTTCTTCAGAATATTTGACAGGAACACAAAGTGAGACATATTCCTAGAAGCATCACAAGAAAACAGCTTCACAGCATTCTCAGACTGTATAACCTGTGCAAGTGACATGCAAAAGAAAGATGAAATAAGTGTTGACAGCCTGGTCTTTAACAAGAAAATCCTTCGTGCAGCCTGGCCTCCAAGAAAGATATCAGTGCTATAGCTACCACAAGCAATCTGTGTCTATTTCAAGACTGTGAGTTAGGGCTGGCAGCCCTAGCAGGACAGCCCACTTCCTGCTTGGTCAAAGAGTTGAATCCAGCATTCGTCTCTGTAAGACCGCTCTCTGTGGTACCTGTTCCTGTGTCAGACAGTGGGCCACTCAGTGGTAGAAGCTCTGGATTCTGTACTATATAGTTTACTGTGTCCCCTGGCTGTTTATGGAAGTGCAGGGTGCTTTGATTTCACTGACTTCTTGCATGACCTTGCCTAATGGACTAGGCTAGGCTGTATCAGTGCTGACATACTTCACTCGTGGTGGCTTCCTTCCATTGTGATAATATTCAAACCCAGTGAACTTCAGTCATGCTGTAGGATAGAATTGTGTATCCTTATGACTGTATCATTTGAGGAGTATACCTCTCCCCCTTTTAAAAATTAAAAACAGCTCATTCTTTTAAAAATATTTTAAAATAAAAACATTTGTTTATGATTATCCCAGAAATTGCAACAATCTTGAGTTTTCAAAGTCTTCTGTACATTAGATGTTTCTGCTGATGTGAGGACCTCATGTGCTCTCCCTCACTTCCCTTCTTCCACCCTCCCCTATACTCCTGTGGCTGTGCTAGCTCTCACTGTGTGCTGAGCCCCACCATGTAGCACTGCTACAGACAGATCACATTCATGTAGGTTTTCCATGTTCCACCTTAGTTCTTGCTCCTTGCTTTCTTGTGGATCTGTGCCACCACTGGGGAGTCATTTTCCTACCTACAAGGAATTCTTTTTATTGGCAAATTCTCAGGGGGTTTTTTGTTTGAAAAAAAAAAAGCCTCATTTTAAAAAGCATATTTTCAAAGAGTTTAGAACTCTTTGTTGAAAATTAGTGCATTTTAGTTTTCAAAAGCAACATCCCCTGTTTCTGTCTGGCTTTCTGCAGTGTGGCTCCTGCAGGTGTAATGCCAGTTGTCTTTGGTGCTCTCCTGCTTGGGTCTACCTGAGGTTTGGGAATTTGTATCGAGTTGCCATTTATTAGTTTTGGAGACTTCCTGGCTATTCTGTCTCCACATTCACCTCCTGTCCCAGTTTGGATTTCTATCATGAGTAGAATGACTCAGTCCCTTTACTCAGAAGGCTATGGAGCTGGACAGATGTGATGACTTCTTCTGTTGCTCCCGTTTCTGACCCATGGAGCACATTGTCTTGTTTTTGAGTGCATCTGTGTATTTATAATCCAGTTTTAGATAACAATACTTGTCACCACTCCCTGAGTACCTGCATGGGCTGCACTGTTTGGTACACTTTCCCCATTTATGTTACCTGGTGATCACTACAGCCAGGACAGGGCAGTGCTATTTCTGTTCCTCTTTACACATGAAGAAATCAAGGCACAGATGGGTTAGGTGATAAGCCAGGTTCTTAGGTCGAGAGTGTGCACAGCGGGAGTCAGGCCAGACTCTTAGCTTCTGACACTTGTACCATGGGGCCTGCTGCCTGTACTTTGTAATCTGGTGTGAACAGGTGAATGTTATGCAGAGATTCCCTCTCCATCCTAGCCAAAGTCTTGCCTCCCCTCTGTTGAGTTTGAGCCCCTCTCTAAAGAGGAACCCATTTCCGGGATGCCCTGCTTGGCCTCCACCCTTAGAGGTATGGAAGTGGATTCTGGAGTAGATTTCAGAGCCTCTTCACCTGCACTAGCCTTGCTTGTTGGAGCTGGTGCATAATCTGAGCCAGTCTGTACTATGTCTTCTAAAATTTTTCAAAGGGTCTGGGCCATTCAAGGTGTATTTCCTGTGTTCTGCCCCTAATCTAGTATCTTTTCCTGCATTTAATTTTACTGTCATTTCAGTGGGATTTGGGGAGCATAAGTATGTGGATGGACTCAAATAACCACCTCGACCCTTGTACACACTCATTGTCCTGAAGGCTTGAGCTCTTCCCACATCTTTTCTAGTGTGTGTCCTTATCCAGGCATTTCTGTATTTTTCACATGATTCTGATTCATGGAAACTCCTCCAGAATCATGCCTAGGATGACTGTGGCCCAGCGTTTGTGCTAATGTGGTCCTGGTAAGAAGTTGGGGCATACTGCAGGACTTTAAAAAGGAGTTAGGAGTATGCATTGTAGATTATAAGCAGACACTGTTTCTTAAACCTGTCTTTTCTCTTAAGTTGCTTATGTTTTCTTTTTAAGTAACTCAACATGTACTTGAGACTCTATAGTTAAACGTTATGCTTGTCAGCTTGTATCATTCTTCTGATTTTAGTATGTCTCCATCATGCAGGAGGCTGCACTAGAGGCCTTCACTCATGGTGCCCTTTAACCCTCACCAAAAGCCTTTCAAGTAGGGATGTGTCTTTGTCCTAGCTCAGAGGGACTCAGCACCTGCCAGGCCACTCTGTCTCCAGCCCTTCACCAATACCCTGCACTGTCCTTGGAAGAAGGGGGCCACACCCTCCCACCAGGGCTTTGGGACCCAGGTGGCCCAGCATACTTTAGAGGCTAGTCACAACGTGCTGCTCATTTGTGTAATCTATGGCTAATTCTAGATTTTGAAGTACAATTTTTCAACTAGTGGTCAGAAGCATTTATGTGGAGTCATTTCTTTCTCTTTCAGACTGACTCGGATATCCAAGCATTCTTTCTGGGCATAGATGGTCTGTGTAAGAAGTATTTCAAGGAAACCTCGCAGGTGAGCTGTGGCCATTGTGGCTTAGCTTTGTGATGATCCAGGTGCTTTATCTCAGAGATCATGTGCTTTGTGTATTCTGTAGGCAAGTCCCTTTGAAGATACATGATCATAAAATATATTCTGCCAAAATGTCTCTGTGGGTTGTCTTTTTACTTTCTTGATGCTAAGATATTTGCAGCACAAAAGTTTGTAATTTTGATGAAGTCTATTTGGTCTGTTTTGTTGTTTGTGGTCTCAGTGTCACGTTGTGACAGGTGATCTCAGTTCAGTGCTAGGCTCTTTGGTTGGGATGCCCCCACTCCCATATTCCCAGTTATAGATTCTCAGGGTTGGAAGAATTCCCCTCCCCCCAGTTGGGGCTCTCTGGACTCAGGGCAACAAATGTCTTCTTGTACCTGTCCTTTCCTGACAGTCATCCAGGGCCTTCTTCCCATCAGGCTTGCAAATCCCTACTCATCCCTGTCCTCCTCCACTCCTGCCATAGTTTTGTGGCTGCTGGGACACTCTTCTCACTCACAGCTTATCCTCTGTTCACCATTCTCCCTGACCTTTCTCCCATCACCATGCACACCCATGCTCCTCCATGTTCTGCCCTCTGCAGCCTGTGTGCTTTCACCCACCCAGTTTCTGATGCAGGCCAGTGCCCCCTGTGCTACCCTGTAGTCTATATTGCATGCCTGGCCCCCTTAGACATCACTGGACGGCTGCAGTCCAGCAGTCTGTGGGGGAGCTTCCTGAGAGAGGAAGAGGTCCTTCCCCAGTCTCCAGTCACCCTTCCATGCCCTCTTCTGTTAGCATTGCAGCTTCCATTGTTGACTTCCCCCACTTGCCCTAGGTGGGGAGAGGTCGAGTGGAAAGTGACCAGGAGCTGCCTCTAGCTGAGGCAGAAGGTGAGTGTTATTCTCTGCTGCTGGCTTATACCTTCAGACCATGGTCAGCCAGGCCCCCAAGACCATCCTCTTCCTCCCCTGGGACACTGTCCTTCGACAAGACTCCTAGGCACTGAAATAGCCAGAATCACTGCAGTATCTGTGGTATTGCTTCCCAAGTCTATTCCCATCCCAAGTTATGCTCAGCCATATCCTCCAGGGAAGAGTTCAGAGCTGGATACTCAGAAACCAAACCGCAGCTAGAGATGCCTGAGAATAAGGGTTGGCACAACATGAGCACCCCGATCAGGATGCACCTGCCCATCTTGCTCAGTCCTACAGGACCTCACTCAGACCAAGTCCCTTGGGATCAGAAGTCTCCTGAGTTTATAAAACATGTACGTTAATTTCTCTCCATCTTCACTTCTAGTAGGGTAAATATTAACAGATAAAACCTACATAAACAAAGCCCTTTGGGGTCTTCAGTAACTTTTAAGAATGAAAAACTGGCCCAAGGCCAAAGCTCTGAGTGCCAAGACCAGACCCAGGGACGTGCCCAGCATAAGTCAAAGACACATCTTGGCAACCACCTCTTAAGAGGTCTGTGGGCCCCAGTCCGCCTTGCTGATATAGTTTGTAATAATTTGACATAGTCTTTTTCCTGACAACCTCTCTGAGATCCTTTTCTACCCACCAGCCTCTGCCCTAAGATGGGACTTGTCAGTATTGGGTCTGTGGTCCCTGGTCCAGCAAGCTCACAAGCTCAAGTTGCCGTGCACAGGAGCATATGCTCCTTGCTGGAGGACAAGTGGTGAACTAAGGAGTGTGCTCAGAATGAGATGCCTTCCACTCCTGACCTCAGCACAAGCACCTCACTTGACCTCGAGGTTTTGTTGCAGGACACCATGCTCTGCCTCTACCTCTCCATCTCATCACCTTAACTCTGATCCTCATGCCAGTATGCAGGGTGTAGACAAAGCCATGTGAGCACAGGCAGCTCCTCCTGGGCTCTGTGAAGACCTGGCCTAGCATGGCCTCTGCTTCCTCAGCCTTGGGGCTTTGCAGTAGTTTCATCAACCTGTTTCTCTGGCTTAGTCCAAGAGGCATATTCTCTACAAGGTACATACTCATGGTCTCTTTCCACTTTGTTTTATTAATAAAATCTACCCCTTTTGAGGCCACAAGCAATGTCTCAAGTCTCTGGGGCCCTATACCCTGGTTGAAGTCCAGGCCAGACAGACCTCAGAGTCAGCCAGAGGGCCTGAGGCTGCAGAGGGCTGGATGATGCACTCCCCCAGGAGAGAGTTCCATCGCTGGTTTCCCAACTTGATGAGACCCAGCGACATTCAGACGAAGGAGTCTCAGCTGCACCCCAAGTTCATGAGAGGCTCCTTGGATTCCCCAGTCAAAACAACTAGTCCCACCTGCAGCTTAAGCCCTTGGAAAGTTTCCCTGCGGCCCAGTGTTTGCTGCAGCCACACCTGCCTCACCAGATCAGTGTCAGCCATACCGACCAACAGCCCCGACAGAAGAGTAGCCATTAACCTGTCGACAGACCTTGCTGGGCCCCAGTGCCCATGATGATCAAGAGCCCATGCACTGACATGTGTTCCAGAAACTTCAGTCCTGTGGTAGTTCCCCAAGTGCTAACACTTCCTGTTTCTCAGGGTTCCAGGCCCCACACCAGATGGCGCATATCATTTCTCTTTTTCTGGAACCCACTGAGGACTAGGACAGGGAGGCCCTCAAGCTGCCAGGCTGTCGTTGTTAAAGGTAGTGGGAAGGTCGCTGTAGATCCATTGCTGGAACTCTCCTCAGCTCCACCCGGCCCCCATCTTAGGTCTAGGGCTTGGGCGGCCCTGCCTGGCCTTCCCTCCATACATCTGAGGAGGACAGGGAAGAAGAGGCCGATCCCCATAGTCCAAGACTACACAGGAGAACTTCACCAAGTCCAAGGGGATCAGGTTTGTCTGCCAGAAGTCCCTCCATGGGGACCACCTGTAGGGTGGGGCTGTTCCCACTGAGGGTGTTTCGGAGGGTGCCTCTGATACAGGTGCATTTGAGCTGAGCCTTGAAGGATAAGTGCAGGTTCACTCAAATGACAACAGGACTTGAGAAGCTGTGGCACAAACAGGGATGGTCCCCTGAGTCATGGCCTGCAATGTGCATGAGAATTCCTGCCAGGGTGGCCTCAGGAGTCCCTTTGTCCATTCCTCTTCATACTCCTCTTCATGGTCTACATGGGCAGTACCTAAGACTGGCTCCCCCCTAGTTGAGACTCAAGTCCCTTTGTCTAGTAGAGCAGCGAGCCCTCCTTGGGAGACCCCGACAGCTCTGAGTTCCTCCAAGAACACAGGAGTCTGAGGAGGATGTTGACCCACCTGGCCTGGAGTAGGCTCCTAGCACAGCCTTCTGGAGACAGCCTGGCATCTAGAGGATGGGAATGGAGGCCTAGCGTGCACTGTGCCTTCCCTGCACTACAGAATTGTTTTCCTGTTTGCTGGACCAGCAGGCCATGGGCAGATGCAGCCACTCCTTGGCGCTTGTATCAGCAGGTGCCAGGAGGGAGTGAAGTGGGTGGTTGGTTACAGGATGCTGACTTTAAATACCAGTGTGACTCGTAGTTAGCCCAGTGTATGTTAGCCATGCACTGAGTGGTGACAAAAATAAGACAAGCAATGATAGGTGAGTGTTTCAGGAGGGTGGGCACCATTGTCTGCAAACCTTAGTCCTGTGAAATAGATCTTTCTTATTCTGAGTAAATCACAGGCTGGTACTTTTTGTTTATGTTGGGACTCTCAGGCTGTCTACACAGCAGATATTTGAGCTCATCTAGATGGAAGACCAGAGATTGTGCTGGTTTGGGGCATGGGGGGCTCTGGGAGTGCAGACAGGGCCCAGGTCCTTGGTGTCTGCCAGCTCTGCTGGACTCGCTTGACTTCATTCTGTGGGTCAACTCTTTCCACCCCTCCCACCCCTTCCACGGGTCCACATACCCCTCCCAGGATGTTCTCTGGTGGGCGCTATTGGTCAGGAGGCCATTCCTTGAACCAGTCGCTGATGTCAAAGGGGCAGCACACTGTTGGATCAACACATACGTGAGACTTGTTACCCACCTAGTTGTGTCCTGTCCCATCACCAGGTCGGGAGCTCCACTAAACAGCTGGGATGGGGCAGGGTGCTGGGGAGTTGGACCACCAGCACAGGGAAGCCTTCACATTGGGCTACTAAGCCACACCTATTTGCTTCTGGCCATGCCCACCACGCCCACTTTCCTCATGCCTGTGTGTAGGCATCTGCCCTGAGTAGGTGCTGGCCATCAGCATCTGTCTGGGGTGACATGTGAGACAAGCAGGCTGTAACTGCCCTTAGAGTCCCCTCCAGTCCTCTGCTTCCCCCAAACAGAACGTCTAGCCAGAGTCTCGCAGTGTCAGCTGCTGAAACATGTTATCTTCTCAGATTTCAGAATTTCAAGACAAGCACAGGAGGAGATTGTTAGCCTTCTATAGAGAAAAGGTAAATGGAGTTGGTTCATTGCCTCTTGAGTTTATGACCCTTTGATTTAAACATACGTGAGACTTGTTACCCACCTAGCCCGCAAAGGGCGACAAGCTATTAGTCAAGAGGTCTGTTTTTGTTTGCGCCTCCAGCTATGGGGTTGTTGTCATTGTCCCCTTCTGACCATCAGCCTATTTGCCTGACACCTATCTGTGGTTCCCCAAGCGGCCCCTCAGGGGGCATCACCATATGGACCTCCCTGCTTGGGCCTCTCACCATCTCCAGCTGACTGGGGCAGTGCTGGGGCCTTTGGAGCATGGGGGGCACTCAGAGTCTCCTTTACTCAACCAGCTTGCTTTTTAGTAAAAGTCCTTTTTAAAAAGCTGAAGGTTGTGGAGGAGGTGGAGAGTAAGGAGCCCAGCTTTAGAACCAGGGGACCAGCCTCCTTGAGTCTAGAAGCTGACCTGTGGCCCTGCTGCCTGCTTTCTGGGTCTGAATGTTTTTCCCAACCCTGTCCTGTCATTCTCACCCTGTTCTGTCACCCTTGCCTCATTCTATCACCCCCATCTCTGTTCTATCACACCTACCCAAGCCTTGTCACTCCCACCTCCGTTCTGTCACTCCCTCCCCCATCCTATCACCTCATGCCCCATCCTGTCATCTCCACCCTGTCCTGGCATCCCTTCTCCTCCTGTCACCTGTATCCCCCTCATCCCACCATAGGTGCATGGTACACCCCAACGACTGCCCAGAATCCTGTCCAGAGGCTTCTTGCTTGTGCCAAGGCTCGACTAAGCTTTTGTGGATATTATGTGTTTATTGTCTTGTAGTCCTCCCAGTGAACCTTGTATTAGGTGGTGTTAACTATGTTTATAGACAGGACGGTGGGATCGTAGAATCTGAGTTACTATCTGAGGTCTGGAAGCTCTCTTGCAGGGCCAGTTCCCAAGCTGACAGGATGTAGAGGCTATGCCTTGGGGTACCCTTGTGTGGGAGGCAGTTATGTCCAACTCTAAGGCCAGAGCACTCACTTGGCAGGGCCAACACTCATTTGGGCTTCTGTTTGCCTGTCTTAACATCATGCCAGCTTGTGGAAGGTGCTGAGCTGAAACTTGCCTCTTGGGAGTGGGCTTGACAGATCTGCACAGATGGCCCCATGACCAATTTCCTAAGTACCTGATGACTTGAACTCAATGCAGATTTACTTATCAGTAGAATGAGGGCAACTTCCATGTGGGATAACTCACCTTGTTATTTATAGTTTCAGGAATGTAGAGGGTCAAATGTCTTCTTTAAAATGTCACTTGGCAAAGTCTGTCTGATAATAAAACGTCATTTGATTGTGTTTAGATTTCTAAGTTGGAAGAATCCCTTAGGAAGTCAGTGCTACAGATAGAACAGCTACAAAGGTAAGTTCCCCTCGTGAATACATAAACAAGGCTATCACCTGCCATGGTGCATTTGGTCGTCTTGCTCTCTCTGAGACGGCAGTCCCCAACCTTTTTGGCATCAGGAACTGGTTTTGTGGAAGACACTTTTTCTGCAGATCAGGGTGGAGGGAGACATAGTTTCAAGATGATTCAAACATATTGTATTTATTGTGCATTTTATTTCTATTGTCATTACATTGTAACCTATAATGAGGTAATCATCATTATGAAATTACTATTTTATATGAGTCTGCAAACAATTGATTTATTATGGTCTCTTTGCAGTCAAACCTGACTACTAATGTTAATCTGTATTTGCAGCTGCTCCCCAGTGCTAGCTAGCATCACCGCCTCAGCTCCACCTCAGATCATCAGGTTCTCATAAGAAGCGTACAACTTAGATCCCTCGCATGTGCAGTTTACAATAGGGTTTGCACTCATGAGAAACTAATGCCACTGCTGCTCTGACAGGAGGAGGGGTTCAGACAGTAATGCAAGTGATGGGAAGTGTCTGTAAATATAGATTAAGCTTTGCTTGCTCACCTGCCACTCACCTCCTACTGTGCAGCCTGGTTCCTAACAGGCCAAGGACCAGTACTGGTCCCTGGCCCTGGGGTTGGGGACACCTGCTCTAAGACAAAGAATGAAAGATGGCTACAGATGCAATAACCCAGGGAGCAGAAGAAAGAGCACTTGCAGTTACTAGAAACTTCTGTCAGAGCAAAACTGCTGTGGGAAAACCACAGGGAAGATAAAGGAGACAAAAAAGAAAGTGAAAAACAGAGGAATGAATCCCCTTGAGGTGGCTTACCAGTGACTCCAGAGGCAGTGGAAAGGGACTGGGAGGATAGTAGACACCACAGGCCCATCCAGAGTGACCCAAGACAGCTTGGTAGCATCCCTTCTTGCCAGGAGTTACAGCTGTTTGTGAAAGGTAATATGTGTGGCATGTTCTGTGTGTAAAGGCCCTACAGTGAGTAGGTGATTCGTTTTAGGAAGACATACCCAAAGTTGCTAGCTTCACCAAAAATGGCAACTAAAAGTATTATATTTCCATAATTGGAAAACCTAGCCACTTAAAATTCTCATTTCTTGGCCATTTTAGCCAGTCAGTGTCCTTATCATTTGCATCTGTTCTGAGTGCACTTTTAATGCATTTAATGTTCCTGGAAGTTGTAATTAGTGCTGTGCCATGGTTGAGTACACACAGTGACACATAGATGTCGTGCATCTTGCATTCAGCGAGACCTTCTGTCTTGTGAAATACATTATAGCTTCCTGTTAAACTTTCTGACATGTTGAATAGTCACAAGTCCCAGTTTGATGCTTTCATATTAACTTGGAGGTTGAGTCGTCGATAGCCGGGTAGGTGCTCCTGTCTCCCACTGGCTGTGTGTGCAGGGGTGAGCCCTCCCAGTGTATGTGTGGGTACATATCTCCCCATTGTGTCTGGCAGCTGACCTGGCATGACCACATTAGGGCTAGGAAGGAAGCTGTGGCCTGTTGCGCTGGCTAGCGGCCCTGCTCCTGATACATGCTTCTGCTGGCCTGTCTGGTGAAAAGGACCTCTTCCTGCTGTCATGATTTCGATAGTGAAGGGTGCATTCCAGGGGTCAACAAATGCCAGGTCAAATGCGGCCCGTGGTGTATTTTCATATAACCATCAAGCTGAGATTGGCTTTTGCATTTTAGAGGATTGTAAACACACTGTGGCGGAGACTTTACATGGCCAGAAAACTGCCTACATTTAATAGCTAGTCCTCTACAAAAGGGTTGGCAAATCCTTGCTTTACGGTATCACAAGAGGAAAGACAGATGCTTGTAATGTATCTAAGTGTGGAATTGCTTTGATTTGTTCTCCTTGATGTACACTTTGCTTTCTTTCTGTGGACTCATATTTTTCGTTAATTCTATAAAATTCCTGGCCATTGTCTTTTCAGGTATTGCGTTCTTGCATCCCCTGCCCCAGTCTGCTACTCTGTTCTCATGTCCCTGGACCTTCTGCTATGATCTCTGTCTTCTTAGGTCACCTGGACACACCCTGGGCTGTTTCTTCCAGCAGCTTCCTGATCTTCTAGTTAAGCTGCTTACCTTCTCCGTTGAGTTTTCATTCAGTACTGAGCATTCCTCTCATTTTTACTATTTGGAAAATGGTGTTTGCTCACTGTTGTATCTCCATCTTTTACTTATGTGTTTCACAGGCAGCCTTTTTATTTTCCTTACCTGATATCCTCAGGATCCACATCCTTCTTCTCTGCTTTCCCTGGAGGAGATGTGTTTCTGGTGTGATCTCAGGTGAGGTTGAGTGGGTCAGTCTCACTCGGTACACACCTGGTGTTGCCTGTGTTTTCCTCCAGCAAAAATTTTCATGTGCTCTGCCAACCAGGATCAGTTACCCCAAACACTGCTGCCCATACCCTGCCTTCCAGTCCTCTCTGTAGGAGGGTCCTTTTCAGAGGATCCAGGACACAGCCCTGCCAGACACAGAAGTATAAGGGGCTTCTACCCACCGTGGTCAGCTACTCACGCAGCCTGTCTTTACTGAGCATCAAGTGTGTTCCGAGCACTGTTCTGGGCTTTGGCAACTCAGAGTTAGCAGAACAAGCCAGACGCCTGCCTGCAGGGGACTTCTGTTTGGGGGACAGGAGGCAGAAAATGAGCTCATGTGTCAGGCGGGGACACATGCTGTCAGGCTAAATGACTCCAGATGAGGGGACCAAAAGGGGTGGTACCAGGGAGGGAGCTAGAAAGTGACCCTAGAGCCAAGGCCCAAGGCACTGAGTCACGTTACACAAGTACCCGTTCTTAGCTCACTTGACCCCAACCTGGATTTCTTGAGAGCAGACCATTCCATTTCAAATGCCAGTCCTTGGCCCAGCCCAACCAGTGTAGGTGGGTGCTCAGGGTGCCAAGGGGATGACCCGCCCTCCTCATCCGCCCCACCATGCCGCTTGGTGTGTCTGTGGAAGCACACATGCTCCCCAGCGTTCACACACACATCTCAGTGCATCCATCAGGCATGGTGGGGAACGTTAGGAGGACCTGGACACAGAGCTTGGAGGTGGCAGGATACGGCAGGACGTCTCTGCAACTGGCTGTGGAGATAGGTCAGGGTTGCTAGACTGGATAGAATGATCAAGCAGTCTGTCCAGATTTCTCTTGCTGGCCTTTAAAAACTAGAATGTTAGTGGCTCCTGCTGTCATGTCCTAATTCTGTACCTTTAACTCCTGTGGTGACCATTTGTTCAGTGACGTTGCAGCTGAGGGAACCAGTGGTGTGAATGACAAAAAGCATTGGTTTCCCTTTGCTTTCAGGGTTCCGAGGAGCAGGGCAGTGGACTAGCAGAGAACAGACCAGCAGAGCATCTGGAGAGCTGTTAGAGTATGCAAAGTGCCTTTGGCTGATTCAGAGCCCTCTTATTTTTTCAATTGAAAATATTTTGTGGGAAGTGCTTTCGTATGCCTCAGTTCAGTCCCTTTTCTCGTATGAGAGCATCACAACAAATAGCCTTCAGCACAATAAAAATTACTGTTTCAAGTAAGTAACAGATTGCAGGAAGGAAAAGCATATAGAGATACGTGCTGCTGAGTCACACTGACTGTGCACTGACGTTGGGGTGTTTTGCCATCGCTCTTCCAGCCAAGCTGCATGGATGCCTGCTGCTGCCCCCTCACACATCAGCCCCCAACAGGTGTGTGGGTTTGGGGGATGGTGCAAGAACTTGCAGAAATCATGGGACCCACGGGCCCTTCCTGTGGACACTTCTGCCTCTCTTTTCCCATCCCATCCACTCTCCAAATCCCAAAATTTTGCTAATCCAGATACTGGACAACTTCCTGGGCATCTGGCTCTCTTTGACACTCATATCATGTCCCCATGAGGCTCAGGTCCCCAGATCAAGTGTGTGATCCAGGCAGATGACCCAATGCCTAATTTTCTAGCCCATGAGTGGGGGCCCCTCACACGGCAAACTTCTCTATACTGGCAGAAACCTTTGTGTATCATATCTGACCCGTGTCCAGTTTGTATCTGCCTGATCATAACTCTGGTACTGGGAACCCAACTTGTATTCTCCCTAGCGTTCTAGGGAACACCCAGTGGGGGCAGCCCCTGGCTCTTCAGATGGAAGGTACACATTCAGTACACCACTGTGACAGGAAACAAGTTCAAAGAGTATTACTTATAGATGCTGGGCAGGGGAGGTCGTGTGAGTTGGTGGTGGGGGAGTGGTTTTCTGATGTTTTTCCGCAGGTCACATGAGACAGGAATGAGAGACAGAGAGAAACCTGTGGGTCAGCACCTTTATTGGGGCCCAGGGTGTTGATCCAAACAGGTTTCCCATGGGGAGTTTTCATTGGTAGGTTTAGAGCCAACAGGCAGGAGTTCTGCAGGGTCACACTGTGACTGAGAGGGCTTCAATGGTGGCACATCTGCACAGTCTATGCAGGTGTGGGTCAGCGAGACCAGCCAAGTAGGTTGTATCCTGCTATCCCACAGGAAGGTAATCATGGGACCATGGTGGAAGAAGCTGGGTGTCCAGATTAACCAAATTGGAGAACTGAGACAGGGTGGAGAACTGGAAGCTTTGTTGGGTGACAGCCTTGCTTGGTGTTAATAAGAGCTGACAAGGTGTCCCTGCCCTCTGGAGGCTCTCGTGCAGCGAGCTCCAGACAGTTAGCAGAGTGGGGAGGAACCATCTGGAGGGAGAAGCAGCATATACAGAGCGCGAGAGCGTGGGAGGGAGCTGCACATGCTGTGTGTGCCTGATGGGAGGGCCTCTGTGTTCTGGGTTCTGTGTTCTGCATTTGATCTGCAGATGGGGGTGGCCCTCAAGAGGTTGAGGGAGGGGAATGACAGTGACCCAGATCTGCCATGGACTAAGCTCAGACTGCATCACAATGCTAGATGCAGACTGAGCATTATATGTGGTCTTGTGTGTGTTTAAATGATGTTATTTGATTAGACAAGACTGGGCTCCATTATTGCTTTTTCCTGTGTATTTAACAGAGTGGAGTTGATGAAAGTTGATCTCACACCTTCCCCAGTGAGAAAAGTAAGTACATCTGCTATGCTGCTTGTTCTCCATGTACCAATACTAGATATTTTCCGTTTTCTCAGCACTAGTGAACTTCACCATTTGTGTAACTGGAGACAGGCTTCTAACAGGGCCTCTTTGTTGTAGCTGGCCCCAGGGGGTGAGGGAGTTGGGCTTCAGTTAGGAACTAGGTACTAAAAGACCATTAGGAGAACACTTCCTGCTGCCCGTATGGCCAGGACTGCAGCTGAAACTGGAGGAACGGAAGCACACGGGGAGGATAGCAGGGTCTCAAGCTGGTTCCATGCTGGTCCTGCGCTGGTGTTGAGAAGCAGCAGCAGGACTGGTGGCCCTGTGCTTCGCCTGCTTACACTGTAGTCTCAGGAAGTGACAGAAACATGCTGAAGGAAAAAAACAATAAATTTGTCAGCCCAAGAAAAGAATTGGGTCAGAAATGGGAAGGACTCTGAAAAACAGAAAGCAACGGTTTCAAATTGGAGAGAAACAAGACCAGAGAAAGCCTGGTCAGAACTCTAGAATGCCCCAAGTATGTATCCCTTCACCTGCCCAGGGGGTAGAGCATGGTCTCAGATGTACCAAGTGAGCCATATGTCAGGCCGTTCTGAAAAGTCAGGGAGAAGCCAGTGCTTAGGCAGGACCAGGGACAAGAAGAGCATCAAGGCAAGAGGGACCAAGGAGCAAAGGCGGGAAAGTCGAGTGTGTCTGAGGGTATTAATGTGGTGCACATTTACTTATTAGTGTCCGTGTTTGTTTATTTAATCTGTATATTACATGAGGTTGTTCTGTATAGAGCTGTTCCAGCCCATTATTAATGCACATTCAGTCTTCCTCATAGCCCTAAGAACAGACACTGTTATGTGCACTTACCAGTAAGGAATAACATTCATTTCCAAGAAATTGCCTGGAACCAGATTGTGGAGGAACTGAATTCCAGTATATAAAGGTGGAATGTTATAGGGAGTGAAGAGCCCTTCACCACTTGGGTGGAGGAGGAGCCCCAGTTCCTAGACAGGTGGTTCAAGCACAAGCCTCCTCTCTTGCCCAACTCACCTCCCAGCCCCTCTCGCCCACACCCACTCCAGCAGCACCGAGGGACACCTTTCATTGGTGCTCTGTCTCCTCTTCAGGCCTTACTAGAAGCTTTCACAGAACCCCCCTCCTGGTCCCCTGCAGGTCCCCACCACTTGTCTTGGCTCCTCGAGGCTGAACCTCTGCTTCCTGCTATCCTTTGTTATCCTCAGACCTTCTTTCAGGGATCAATTCACAGCTTCCAAGTCCCACAGCTTAACGAGGAAGAACTCTTGCCGGTCAGGTCACCCTCCTGGGTTTCCTTAGGAGCTGGGTAATTGGGTGAGGGCAGAGAAGACTCAAGACTGGCAGGCAAAACCACTGGGTGTTACTTTGGAAGTTGTTGCTGAAGGACCAGAATGCAGTGAATCAGAATTCCAAAGTGAGGTGCTAGACCAGTCATCAGCAAACTTTTCCTGAAAAAAGCAAGATAGTAACCAATGTGCACAACTGCAGACCCCATAGTTTCAGATGCAGCTGCTCAACTGTCACTGAACTGCGGAAGCAGCTACAGGTGGTGTGGAAGAAAATGGGTGCCGCTGTGTCCCAATAAAACTATGTGCAAAACAGGCTGTGGGCCATAGTTTGCCAACTCCTGCTACACTAGAATACGAATTTTCAAGAAAAATGACCTACAACTAGTTTTTTACCTCCAGGCTTCTTGTCACCCCTGGAGTGGGTGTGTGTAGGGGATTCTTTGGAGAGAACTGCTTTGCTCCCTCTCACTTGGCCCCCATGGTGGGGTAGAGTGAGAAGTGCTCCTGGCAACCAGGCCTGAGCAGGTCCTGGAGAGACTACTCAGACTGTCTGCATGGGCTGGGGTCCCCCCTCTGGCTGTGGAGAGCAGTGTGCAGGCCCCTCTTGAGGTGCATATCCCACTCCAGAGGTGCGCAGAGGGGAGGGCCGCAGTGTGGGGGTCTCAGGGGTAAACTCTGAAGAAGCAGAGGCTGTGCAACAGCCAGCCTAGAAGGGGCAACACTGCCCTGTGAGAGTTCCTGTGGGGGCCTGGGGGGGCCTGGGAGTTCCTTTCTCTCCTTTCTCCTCCCTGGCCTGCCTCCGCTGCTCTGAGCCTGGGGTTCCCCAGCTGCTGCTGCTGGAGAGGAGGTGAAGGCAGAGAACAAGGCCACCACTCTCCTGGCAGAGACACCTTGGGAAGGCAAGAGAAGCTTCCTCCAGGGGAGGTGGGAATGTTGCTGATGGTGTCAGGCTTGACAAATGACTCTGAACCCAGGCTGTGAGCCTCACATGAACACAGGACTTCCGACTTAGTAAATTGACCAGTGTTACGGATCTTTTTCAAAGGTAAAATCATGACTCACAAATATAATGTGAATCCCTTTCAAGTATTTTCTTGATCTCATGAGTTAATGAGGGAATCCAGCAAAATGTGAAAACTGGTTTGAAGGAGAATCCAAGGCGCAAACACATGCACAGGAAGCGAGGAGTGTGGACCTGAGCCCTCCACGTGCTGCATCCAGTGTCCATACCCAGCTGAGGCCGCCACAGCCCTTGGATGAGAAGCATCCTCACCACTGTCTTGTGCATCTCGCAGCTGTGAGTCAGTGCCAGGACCAGGAAGGCACAGCGCTTGGCACTGGAGAAGTCCACCCAAAATCAGCACATTTCAAAGAGGAGGTGATGTTGGGGATGATTAGGATGAACTGCACTGAAGACATCATAGTTGAAGGGAGGATTCAGAAAAGATGGGCTAGAAGTGCTTTGGGCAGGTGGGAAGACATACCAGAACCTACCCTGAGGAGGCAGGCAGAGGCTGCAGCACAGGAAGAAAAACTTCTGATTTCTCAAGAGTCTGTCTTGTGGTGTGGTTGAGGTCACAGTATCACATGGACAGAAAGTGCCAAGTGGACAGTTACGTGGAAAGGTAGCCTGTGGGCAGCACAGGAGTCACTTGAGGCAGAGGGACCAGACTTCCCAGGGTTGGAGTCTTGCTGCTGAGCTGGAGTGAATGACAGGCAGGGCAGGATTAGGGTGTGGCAGAGGGGACTCCTGGAATGGGGCCGCCCCTGAGCAGGTGAAGAGGCCACGAAGACAGAGACTTTCATGGTGGATTGGAGGTGTCTGAGGATCAAAGGATCTGGGAGATGATTGTGACAGGATACAGGTACCAGGAAGACAAGTGGCAGAGGTTGTAACAGGCTCAGTGGTTGGTGAGGGCAGAGCTGAGGGATTGACTAGGTGAGGCAAGGAGTCTGGAAATGGAGATACCAGCAGTGGATGGGGATCCACTGCTCCCAGGGACGGTGGCTAGAGATAGCATCTTGCCAATGTCCCCAGGTCCCTCCCTCTGAGAGGCAGGAGAGGCCTCTATCACCAGCCTCATGACCTGGGCTGGCAGCTGACTGTTAGCCTCCTGCAGGTCAAGCAAGGATGGTGGCAGTGCCTGCCTTATGGTTGCTGGGTGGAGTGGAGGGTGAGCTTTGAGCAGCATTAGCACCACCCTGTCCTTCAAACATCTAGCTTTTAAGATGACAAAATGATGCAGCCAAGTTGAGGAATTGCTCAGGATTTTACATTTTCTAACATCAGCCAAGAACTTTACTTTTCTCTCTTCTGAAAGGCTTAGACTTAGTGAAGTCCTTTTCCCAATCAGTATTTTAGGCCCTGGTGGGACAGAGGAAATTAAACAGGTAACACCCCTCTGACACCTGTCCCGACCTTGTGGGGCCTGCATTCCAGCTGAAGATGACAAGAACTCAGAAGTTGAAGCTCTGGGATATGTGTTCTTAATAAGCAATGTGATTCTGAATGTCATAGGTGACAATATTGGAATTTTATCCATTGTTTTATTTTTGCATACTTAGCCTGTGATAGCATCTGGCCCTACGAGAATCTCCTTGATTAGTCCACCTCAAGATGGATGCATGGGTGAGTAAAACTTCCTGTAAACTTACCTCAACTCCATACACATATCGATTAAAGTATGTTCTCTGAAAAGTCATGTGTCAGAAGTTACCCAGGTGAGGTTACAATCTACCAAAGTGGTGCAGCTATTGACTCTTTTTGGGAGAAGCTCTTGTGATTACCATTTAACGAGTTGTTCCTTTGCATTCCGTCTCCTTAGTTTTAAACAAAAATGTGACTGAGTTTGCTTACTGGTAATTGACTCTGGATTGCTGGTGCATTTCCAGACTGACTATCCTTCCCCAGCTGGCTCAGGCCCTTCCTCACTCCTAGTCTGGGGAGCATTCCTGGTACTGGTTCCTCCCCCATAGGCTCTTCTCACTATCCCACTACTCCTCCCAAAGTGTGAGGTTTTCAGCCATTCTCTTCCGGTGTGGGTGCCCTCATTAGCAGGTGGAAGTAACCCTAGGGTGCTCACTGTGGAAGTACAGAGATCTGGGCAGATTCCCCTGCCCTATCCTGCATGTGGGTATGTACACTAAACACAAGAATGTCAGACCATACCTGCCGTTTCCCTGATATACCCACACTTACCTCTAGGGTCACTTTTAACAGCTGCTTTCTGTTCCATCCCATGGTTGACAGTGTTTGACCAGGATATGTGTAGTGTTTCTAGAGGTTTGCCATTTTTGTACATAGATAACTGTCCTCACTAGATTCTCCTATTAGCATACATTTCTAGAAGGTCATAGGGAACACCTAAACTCTCTTAATGCTTTTGATGTATGTTGACAAGTTATAAGAGTATTGCTCTGTTCTACTCCACCAACAGGCTAAGAGCACCACGAATGTCCTTCTCGACAATACCCACTTTGTTTATGCATTTCTTCTTTGCCAATCTGAAAGGAAAAAGTCATTTTGATTTTCATTTCTGTGACTGTTAATGATTCTGAATGTTTTAATTTTATTCTGTGTGTGTGTGTGTGTGTGTGTGTGTGTGTGTGTGTGTGTGTTTTCTTTTTTTTGAGTCAGTTTGCCTAGGCCAGAGTACAATGGCTTGATCATAGCTCACCACAGAGTTATCCTCCCCTCCTGAACTCAAGTGATTCTTCTGCCTCAGCCTCCCAGCTTCCAAAGTAGCTGAGACTACAGGCTCATGCCACCATGGCCAGCTAATTTTTAAAATTTTTTTTCATAGAGAAGAGGTCTCACTATGTTGCCCAGGCTGGTCTCGAATTCCTGGGATCAAGCAATCTTTTCTTGTGTTTTTTTCTATGAATTGTCTGTTTTTGCTCTTTGCCCTTTATTTATATGAAGTCCTCAGTATATTGGCCTTTTACCCAGTTTGCTTTGTAATTATGTATTTGACTTTTGAATTTGAGAAACGTAACATTTTTATGTACTAAAATCTATTCTTATCCTTTGTATTTCATAGGTTTTTGTGCTTAGGTAGGTTTTTTCACATATCCAAATCATTTTCTCCTAGTTGAGTTGTTTTTGAAACTTAATTTTTTTAGAGAAGTTTTAGGTTCACAGCAAAATTGAAAGGAGGGTGCAGAGACTTCCCATATACCTCCTGCTCCCACATATGCATAGCCTCCTCTGTTTTAAACACTCCCCCACAGAGTGGTCCATTCGTTAAAGTTGATGAACCTACATTGACATATTATCATGCAAAGTCCATAGTTTACATTAGACTTTACTCCTAATGTCATACATTCTATGGGTTTGAACAAACTTATAATGGTATCTATCCACGTCTGTGGTATCATACAGAGTATTATCACTGTCCCAAAAAGCCTCTGTGTTCCACCTATTCATCCCCAATTCCCAACCTCCCTCAACCTTTGGCAGCCTCTGATATTTTTACTGTCTCCATAGTTCTGCTTTTTCCAGATTGTCATATAGTTGGAATCATACAGTATGTAGCTTTTTCAGATTGGCTTTCACTTAGTAATATGCACTTAGTTTCCTCCATATCTCCTCGTGGCTTGATAGCTCATTTTTTAGACACTGAATAATATTCCATTGTCTTGGTATATCACCATTTATTTATTCATTAATCTGCTGAAGGACATCTTGGTTGCTTCCAAATTTTGGAGTAAAGCTACTATAGATGTCTATGTGCCAGGTTTTTGTGTAGGCATGTTTTCAACTCCTTTGGGTAAATATCAAGGAGTGTTATTACGGATCAGATGGTAAGAGTGTGTTTAGATTTTAAAGAAACTGCCAAACTATCTTCCAAAGTGGCTGTACCACTTTGCATTCCCACAAGCAGTAAATAGGAGTTCCTGTTGCTCCACATCCTCACCAGCATTTGGTGTTATCATTATTCTGGGTTTTGATCATTCTAATAGGGATGTAGAGTATCTCATTGTTTTAATTTGCATTTCACTGGTAACGACTCAGAGCTTCTTTTTATATGCTTATTTTCCATCTCCATATCTTCTTTGCTAAAGCATCCATTAAGGTCTTAGGCCTATTTTTTTAGTTGGGTTGTTTCTTATTGTTGAATTTTAAGCGTTCTTTGTATATATTTGATAGCAATCCTCTATCAGATGTGTCTTTTGCAGGTATTTTCTCACAGTCTGTGGCTTGTCTTCTCATTATTCTTGACATTGTCTTTCACAGAGCAGAATTCTCCTAGTTTTTAATGTTTTTCTTTTTTCAAATTCTTCAAAGTTTATCTTGAGGTATATTATGAGTATCCTGTGTGGTTTTTAATGATTAATTTTGAAAATACTTCAAGCACATAGAAAATTTATAAGAACGGTATAAAAAAACTCCCTTACCCAGATTCGCCAACTGTTAATATTTTGCTTCATTTCCTCCCTGTTATCATTGGTGCTCTCTGAACCACTGAGAGCATGTTATAGATGTGATGCCCGAGCATCCCTAAAAACAGGAATATTCTTCTACAAAATCACCTGCAGCTCATGCCAGGGATCCACAGTGGCACACTCTGCCATTCCATCAGCTGTTACAGAGTCTCATGTGAAGGCAAACTACATCTAACTATAGCATCTCTTCTGTCTCCTTGGGACTGGAACATTCCCTTACACCTCTTCTGTCTCCTTGGGACTGGAACATTCCCTTACACTTCCTGCTTCTTTTTCTCAATAGTTTTCAAGAATAGAGATATTTAATTCTGAAGGGTAACCTATTACTCGGGTTTTCTTGTGTTTCCTCATGAGACCAGACCATTCTCTCCTGGCAGGAATACCCCAGAAATGCTCCTGTTCTTCTCAGCACATCACATCAGGGCACATGAGGATGACCTGTTTTACCACAGAGACGTTAACCGTGGTCACCTGGCTCCTCCATGAGGATGCTCACCTCGGCCACCTGACCACACTGGCGTCTATTAGTTCACTGTAGTCACACTGTCTCCTGCAATGGATAAATATCTTGTCGAGAGAAAGTCTGAGATGACACTGACATGCTCTTCCTCATCAGTCGTCACCCCACCACAACTGCTGCTCTGGTGACTGCCTCGTAGTGGTCTTTTTACTTCCACAATTTCTTCGATGTATATTGTCTCTCTACTCTAAACAAGAGCTTTCCCTTGTATGCAATTCACTTATCTATGCATTTACCAGTTTATAACAGCATGGATTTATAAATGTTTGTTATGTTCAATGGCTACTTTTTCTGCTCAAATTGTCCCCAATATGGTTGTGTGCAAAATGCTTTTTAAAAATGTCAACCAGGAATTCTGTGTCCAGTGGAATTATTTTAAAATGAAGACAAAATAGAGATATTCACAGAGTGATAAAAACAGAATTCATTGCTAACAGACCTGCCCTATAGGAAATGTAAATGAAGGTGTTTAGGCTGAAGGGAAATGATACTACACAGTGACATCAATCCACTAGAAGGAATGAAGAGCATCAGAAATAGTAAACGTGGATGAGTATAAGAAACTGTATTAAGCCGGGCTTGGTGGCTCAGCCTGTAATCCCGCGCCTTTGGGAGGCTGAGGTGAGTGGATTGCCTGAGCCCGCGGGTTCGAGAACCACCTGGGCAGTGAGACCTCATCTCTACAATAAATCAAAAAATCAGCTGGGCGTGGTAGCGCATGCCTGTAATTCCAGCTACTGGGAAGGCTGAGGCGGAAGGATCACCGGAGCCCAGCAGTCGAGGCTGTGGTAGCCGGGAGCGGCCACTGCACTCCAGTCTGGGCAACAGAGTGAGACTCCAACTCAAAAAAAAAACAGAAACTATATTGCCAGGCTCGGTGGCAACTGTATTGCCAGGCTCGGGTTCGAGACCTCCCTGGGCAGGCAAGACCTCATCTCTACAATAAATAAAAAAAAAAAATTAGCCGGGCATGGTAGCGTGCGCCTGTAGTTCCAGCTACTTGGAAGGCTAAGGCGGAAAGGATTGCCAGAGCCCAGCAGGTTGAGGCTGCAGTGGCCGGGAGCGGCCACTGTATTCCAGTCTGGGTGACAGTGAGACTCCAACTCAAAAAAAAAAAAAAAAAACCAACTGTATTTTAGTCCTTTGTCTTCGCTTCATTACTTTACAAAACATAAAGTTGAAGCAACAATTATAACATTGTATTGTTCAGACTGGAACATAAGTAGATGTAATATATATGACAACCCAAAAGGGAAGGGAAGAGGTAGAACTATGCTGGAGCAAAGCTGCCGGATTTCACTAGAATTAAGTCAGTATTAACTAGAATTAGACTTTTTTTAGAGCAACCACAACAGACATAACCAAAAAATACAGTTAAAAAAATCAACAAGAATTTAAAAGTTACATTGTGAAGCATTTGTTAAACACAAAAGGCAGATTAGAGAGAAAAAGAGACATGAGATAAATAGACAATAAATAGCAAAATGGCAGGTGTAAATCAAACCATATCAATACTTACATTAAATGTGAAAAGGCACTTCACTCTATCAAAAGGCAGAGATTGTCAGACTAAATAAAGCAAGATGTGGCTGGGTGTGGTGTCCCATGCCTGTAATCCCAGAACTTTGGGAGGCTGAGGTGGGAGAATTGTTTGAGCCCCAGAGTTTGACACCAGCCTGGGCAACATATTGAGAACTCATCTCTATAAAAAATACAAAAATTATCTGGGTGTGGTGGCACATGCCTGTAATTCCAACTACTCAGGAGACTGAGGTGGAAGGATCACCTAAGCCCAGGAGGTCAAGACTGTGGGGAGCCGGAATCACACCACTACACTCCAGCCTGGACAACAGAGTGAGACCCCCCCCCAAAAGATAAAGCAAGATATAAATATATGATGTTTATAAGAGACTATACTTTATATGCAACATTAAAAATGAGTTCAAAGTAAAAGGATGGAAAAGACAGTCTACAAACAGTATGGTTGATAAAGAGAGCTAGAGTAGTTGTACTAATATCAGACAAAATAGACTTTAGGGCAGAGATTTTTGCTAGGGACAAGAGGGAGGAATTTAGAATGACAAGAGGGTGAGTATGTCAGAAAGATATACCATTTATAAATGTATACATGTTAAACAGAGCATCAAATACAATAAACAAAAACTGACAAAATTGAAAGGAGAAAAAGACAGTTCAACACTTTTAGAGATTTCAGTACTCTTCTGAGTTTGGTAGAATAGCTAACAAGGAAAGATGTAACAAGAAACAGGAACAAAAAAAGATAAAACATAGAAAACAACAAAGTGGTAGACAGAAATGTCACTACATCCATAATAACATAAAATGTGAATGGACTAAATACCTCAAT